ACAATGATACTGGGGTTTCTTTTCTTTTTCTGTTTTTAACTAGCTGCCTTTAGCAGTAAATGCACATTAGAATAAAGAAAAAGAAACTATATGAAGCAAAAAAATCAATAAATATCGATATTAAATATATTGTTTCCGACTGTCCAGAAAGTAGACACGTTTTGTTTAATTCAACATAAATAAAACTAAATCATAGCTAAAAGTTTTGATCTATGAAGAGCATAATTTGGTTGCAGTATGGACAGTTATATTACATTTATCTGTACGAGTATAATAGTAATAGTACTCCCACTATAATATTATGACATTCTTTATAATTTACACCAGGTCTGTAGTTTCTGAGGGAAGGCTGCTCTGCCGTCACGATTTGAGATCCATCACAATTGCTGAGCTAATTAAATGTTGGTGGAGGTCTGCAAAGTAGAGCAAATTCATATACCTTTACAGTAATATCATACAGTACATATTTATTTGTTTATAGATTGTAAATAACTTAGATAAAATTTGCTTGTAAATGATTAAAAATGCTCACCACAGATTCAAACAAATCAAATTAATCAAAGAACGGAAAAAAAATAAAGAAGTATTTCGAGGGTAGATGGTGGGGGGGAGATGGGGGGAGGGGAGAAAGCCACTGAGAGTCACCCCCTGGGAGCTTTTCAGCATTTTTCTTCTCTATGTAAACACAATGGAACCCCTATAACCACAACCTGGAGCTGGCACCCAGGCTCTTCCCCACTTCACTGACCCGGCCCTTCACTTTTTGTTCTTCAGCTGATTGGCCAGCCAGTCCAGACCCTCGTACAGGCCGTCCCCACTGGTGGCACAGGTGGCTTGAATGTACCAGTTGCGGTGACGTAAGGAGTGCAGGCCCAGCTTGTCTGTGATCTCTGCGGCGTTCATGGCGTTGGGCAGGTCCTGAACAAAATCACAGAGGACAAAGTGTCCGTCAGGAAGTTGGTGAGGCAAGAGGCGTAAAAGCAGGGGGGAACGTAATGTGGCGGATACCTGTTTGTTGGCAAAGACTAGAAGAACAGCATCCCTCAGCTCGTCTTCAGCCAGCATCCGCATCAGCTCCTCTCGAGCTTCGTTGACCCGCTCGCGGTCATTGCTGTCCACCACAAAGATCAAACCTGCAGGAATAAGTTGAAACCGAACAAAAACAATCAGGTCACATCACATTGTTAGGAAAGCATATTGTCAAAGCATGTTTATTGGTTGTCCGGGATTTGAACATGACTAAGATGATGATCATTTGAAACATCTGGAGCCTGTATGCAAATTACATCATCTGAAGGATTAGTCAGATTTTGTCCTCAGGTGCTGGGGGCGAGCGTGCGCTCCAGGATCCGCAGCAGGACTGGAGAGGCCTTTTTTAAAAAAAACAAACAAAACTCTAACCATGCTGGCTGGTCTTTCACCTAAGATGCTTTTGATGCATCTCACCCTGGGTGTTCTGGAAGTAGTGTCTCCAAAGAGGACGGATCTTGTCCTGGCCACCCACGTCCCACACAGTGAAGCTGATGTTCTTGTATTCCACTGTCTCTACATTGAAACCTGGGGTGGAGGAGACAACAAGCAAATAGACAATGGGTCACATAATCTCTAAGACACATGTTTTGTTTTTTTTTATTTAGAGGCAGACAGTCACACACCAATTGTGGGGATGGTAGTGACGATCTCCCCCAGCTTCAACTTGTACAGGATGGTGGTTTTCCCTGCAGCGTCCAGCCCCACCATGAGAATCCTCATCTCCTTCTTGCCTATCAGGCTCTTCAACAGGTTCCCAAAGATGTTTCCCATGATGCCTCGGGAGGAGAGGAGGTGGGGGCACAACTGCAACAAAACTGTTACACGGGCTGCTTTGTTGCTATACATAGCAACAAGCAGACAAAACAAACCGTGAACCACGTTTAGAGAGTCGAAACCACACACACACGCACACACAAAGAAACATGTGGTGTGACAGTAGCTGTTCAAAAACACATCTCAGCATTGGCACCTCCCTTACTGCTCGCAGCCGTGCCCCCTCAGAGGAAAGCCAGGAAACATATACTTCACACCCCGGCAGGCAGCTGACCTGACTCGAAAGCTGCTCCTTTACAGTGACAGCTCACTGGGAAAGGAGGCAGCCATGCTGGATCTCTGTTATGTGGCTCAGCTTTCATGTGGTGCTGAGTAACCACCTTTTTATGCTCTTTTTAGGCAACTGAAGATATGCCAGGGTAACACTCATTTCATATTACGTTATTATGACACATAACCTAAGGCTGTCTATGGTTGCACACAGTCAGGCTCACAGAGCTGAGGGAGGAGGGTGGCCCTTCAGTGGTAATGGGCCCTTTACAGGCCAACCTTGCCTGTTAACTTGTGCTAACACACACTACACGGGTCGCATTGGTTTTTAGAGGGTTATTTTAAACTAGCAGTCTTCTGTGGGGCAGTGAAGTATCCCTCTTGTGTGTTTTAATGACTGGCCGCTTTTCCTCTGACTAGCTAGGTTTCCATTCATTTCTATCAAACGCACGGACAGCAGGTGCTAGCGTAGCCCGTTGCAGCTGCAGTGGCCGCACATCCACACACATCTGTCATAACGCGAGGCGAAGACGGCGGATGCTGCAGTCGAAGCAGGCGATGAATTTTGAACCCAAATCACGTTTCTTTCGGCTCGATAACATTCACTTTCCGAACATAATCTGCTTGCTATCCTGTGAGCTAACATCGTCGGTATTTAATTGAAAACATAAATAAAATCTCCGGGTCAATTTGTGTGCTATAATCCCCCCTCTTACAGTCACGACAAGCGCGCCAGTCGGCCTCATGTCGTACATTAAGGGTCGTTCATTTCCCCCCTCGCAGCATTTAAAAGGCAACTCAAGCGGTGATAAATGAAACCACCTTTTTAGCGCTCGTATACCTCTTTCAGCAATTTCACCATTTGCATCTCGTTCACACTTACCCGTCAACGGCAGGAAGGGTACCAGCTGGATTCAGGCGAAGGACTGGATGATAGTCTCGCGATGAGCTGCAGCTGTGACACTGCGCGTTCTCGCGGTACTTGGATTGCCAATCTCTCATCGCCCGGCGACTTGTTAAAAGCCAGGAGCTGCTGTCTCCAGCTCTGAAAAGTTACTGTATGCACCATCACCTTACAGCTTATTTGAGGCTTATCTTGTTTTCTTGAGGAACATCAAAGAATAATAAATAGTTTGATAGCGTTATTCCCACTATCTCACATATGACATTTCAGAGGGCCCAAACCAGTTTTAAACGAGAGCCTGCAGGCAAGCACGCTTGAATAATTAAAACAGGAATCATCTTAATGAATAAGTAAATGGCTGACTGTAACAGGATGCCAAGTGATACTTCCTGGCAGTGTTTCACAGATAATGAGGTGACAGGAGGGGACAAAAGCATAGACTGAATCGATGTTGCAGTTGGTTTACCTTTGAGCATTATTTTATTTATTAAAAATGTCAAATATTTCTATGGCTTTTTGGCGCCTATGCTATCTAATGAGATTGCTTCATGCACGTGAGTCCAAACCACTGCAGACTCACTTCCCTCATAGTTATAAGATGTTTTTCTTCTTTTCTGTAGCCATCTCTTTAAAATAAAAAAAGGTTCTGAATGAAGTTAAATAAAACCAAACCTGGGGTCAATGCCTTCTCTCTTTCTTGTTTTCTGTCATGCACTTTTGCATTGTACACTTGCAAACTGCACTGCACTTTGAAATTAAAGGACATTAAAAAAAAAAAAGAAGTCGCCTAAAGAAGAAGCCAATGTGAACAAACGGCACTCCTTCAAACCGGCCCTGCAGCCATAGGTGAGTCCAACATTTGCCTCATTCCTCCTCCGTGCTGTGTGCCAGTCAGTGGTCCAGTAATAGATGTGTTTATCAATTCAGCGGTGGAGGCAGCGAGGAATAAAGAGGGGAGCAGATGTTTGCAGCTGCAGACCAGATTACGGGGTGGAGTGGATGGTGGGGTGAGCATGCAGGAGTTTGTGTGCGCGGGGAGTTTGGAGAGGGTTACAGGGGGGTTAAAGCGGGCCCGGGTGGTGGCAGGAGAGGTAGGGTGGGGAGTTATGACTTAAGGGAGCCTTTCCTCTGAAGTGTCTGCCAGCGTGCACCCCAGCAAACACAATCACAAGTCTCGTTGGTTCTGCTAGCTGAACTAATGAGGGCCTGCACGTTGAGGGCAGGGGCTTTGATGTTCTGGGTAGCTGGCTCCTTGTGTTTTCTCTCCCGCTCTCCTCTGCCTGTCCCACATCAAAAATGAAAGGGGAGTTGAGAAGCAGATGTTTCGAGGCATATATTTATACAGAGTACACTTTAGTCACCCCGTTCGCCACACTCGATTTGTCCTTTGCTTGTGCATCTCTGCCGTATGTGCAGCAAAATCTATCTCGCTATCTTCATATCCAACTAAACACACTAAATCGCCTTATTTATACATATAATCATGCTGTCAGTCAAAGTGGGTAACTTTTATCTCTCCTTACTTCCTCTCTCTCTGCCTGCCTCTCTTTAATTTCAGCCCAGTCTGGATGTCATTACTGCAGGGGGGGTGGGGGCAGTCAATGTGTTGCTATGTATGTGTCTCTGTCTGCAATGATGAAGGGGAGAATGGGGAAAGGGGCGAAGTAAGTAAGAGAAACAGAGCGAGAGAGAGAAAGCAATCCCAGGCTGTCCACCAACCTCTGTCTCACACATGGTTAGAAACAGTGACAGGAAATTCCCTTTCGCAGCAGCTCCAGGGTGAAATGATAAAGGAATGAAGAAATCCAAACCAGAAATCCAAGCCCTTATCATTCCATACCTCTTCGCTGTCTTCTTTTTTTTTTTTTGCTCCTTCTCTAAATACCAAAAAAGATCAAGTGCTCAATTCAGCCACTGGCGCTGTCATTCCTTCGGAGTTCAGGGATATTTACCAAAGTCCATGCAAACAGGACTTAATTGGCATTAAATCCTATGTGGCAAAAAAAAGCTTTTCCCAGCAGGCCAAGCATGGAGACGGTTTGGATTATCTAAGATATCGAGGAATGCTGCTATCATAAATCGAGTCAAGTGGCGACAGGAGCATTTTGCTAAATCTACAGTTCATTTGTGCGCAACAACATGCATGTTTTTGATTGAGCGTCGGGTGCCAGCGTTCCTACATGTCTTGGTACGTAAACCAACCCATGCAAGCATTTATGTGCATGTGTTTATATTTGTGTAGTCTGTCTCCCAGGTAACAGGGATACAGCGTCCCCAAAGCACGTGGTTCAACAAGTCCCTTCCTTGGCTATGAACTCTGGACAGATGATCCCCTTAGATGCTCGCACAGCAAAGACTGGTATAATCACCCCCATTCTCTGCTCTCTTGATGCTTCTCTCCAGTAATAAAAGTCATACTTTAAGGAAACAATATCCTGCAGCCATAAAAAGTCCTTCTCTCAGCATGAAGTGGCCATAAAAAAGGCTCTCACCTCCCAAATCTGTAGTGCACAGAGCCTACCCCCCATTTACACAGCAACAGACGCACACTCTTCAGCGTCATTTCAGGACTAAAGTAGGTCCATCTCTCACTTTGACATGTAGTACATGTGGGAAGAATCTAAGGAGTGCTCAGACTGATGAAATGGACAAAAGCAAGCACGAAATATCAAGAGCCCAGTCACAATTTCATAGGAAAGTGACACAAATCACAGTACAGTCATACCCAAGAGACAGCATTTTTGCTGCCACAATAATGATACAGAGTCATAAAAAACATGACCACTAGCAACCATACTCATGAAGTGATTACTATTGTTACCATTATATAAATATATAAATCTGAATCATTAGTCGTACAATCTAGAGATTTGTTGCTTCCAGTTTCCCATCTTGAGTTTTACAAGTGTACAAGCTTGGACGAGCATCTGAAAGTCCTGCATGTGAGAAAGCGCTGTGTCAAATTCATTCGCCCTTCCAAAAAAAATTTGTCTTCTTTGATCAGTAAAGAGAGATTGTGAGACAAGTTCCCAAATTAGTACTTTTCAGAGTCACACACGAGTATTATTTTGGTACAAATGGAGAAAGAAAATGAGACTGTTCTGTCTGCACACTGCTTCACCGTGCTGACCACATGGCCACCATCAATCTGTCATTCACTGAAAAAAGACAGGCTCTAGTACAATATTAATATTAATAATAATACATTTACAATTATAGACATACACATTCAAATAAACTGTTACTGTACAATAAGATGAGTCAGCTTGTAGACGCTGAAGCTCCTCTGCTGTTGCGTTTTCTTTCTTTCTTTTTCTTTGTGGGTCTCAAACGATGAAGTATGGGCCATTTTCATGGCTGAAAGGCCAGCGTCTAAACAGGCCATGGGAAGACAAATGACATGAGTCACCTCTTCAATCTCTGACTTGGCATTTTGAGAATAACAGCGTCTACAAAAAGAAAATAGATCCCAGATGATGGACTTAAAAAAAAGAGGGTGGGTGGGGGGTAAACAGGATCTCTGGGAGAGTTGCACAAGGAGCAAAAACAAAAGCTCGAACAACATGAGTGGGCGAAGGGACAGGCTCGCCATCTTGAGTCCTGGATGAGTAAAAGCCGCTCGAACTGAGGGGGGAACAGACTGACGTCTACTTGCACACGTTGACCCACTCTGTGTGACGACACTCCTCGCACAGCACGTAACAACACCAGTGAAATCTGCAATTGCAGCGCTCGCTGCGTGTCTGTTTGAGGATGTTGTGTCCACGGCCGCAGCACAGCGAGCTGCAGCTGTCTGTGCTGTAGCTAGTTTTGTTGCAGATTCGTCCGTGTGTTCCCGGAGAGTCTATGGACACGTCGTGCTCACAAAAGTCAGGAGACTTCTCAAAGTACACCAGCTCTCTGGACATGATTCGACGACGCCCTCCGCCGAGACCCCCTTGGGTTCCGCTGGCGCCGTTTTCTGTCCGAGGGTTGAAAACCCCATTATTCTTGTTCTGAGAGTTGACAAAAATGGCTGTCAGGAACTTTTCTTTGAGTATGGAGCCCACAAGACGGAACTCTGGAGACACATGCCAGCAGGTCTTAAACTGACAGCTCCCTGATGTGCCGTGACATTTGCATTTCCTTGTCATGTTGTCAGTCACTATCTGTGTAAAGAATAACACTGTAAGCAAACTCCAACAACAACCAAAATGATAATGAGTGCTGAAGGTCGGAGGGACAACAGCTGAAAAGCACAATATTCACCTGTCGTCCCACACGGTTGTTATGTATCCTCATGCGGGCGTGGATATCTCTTGGAGACCCCCGGGAGTCGAGCCAGTCCCTGGAAAAGCGATCCCCGAAACGGATGTCATGACTGCACCCCCCCCACTCCCAGGTGTCTTGCATAGAGCTTAGCTCATCCGGTAAGGGCTTGAGAAGGGCTGAGGGGTGGGCTGAGCGCAGGTTAGTGGGCAGGCTGCCACGATGACCATTCAGCTCTGAGGGTAATGACCGTGTTAAGTCGATGCCTGCCCCACCCTTCTGAAGCGTCTGCAGCTGCAGCTGTGTGAGTTTCAGCCGGATCTTGTCATCGTCCTGGCGACGCTTGGCCTCGCAGCCACACCCCCGCAACTTGCCCATGCTGCAAGCCGAGGCCACAGAGTGAGCCACGCCCGCTGCCAGCAAGGCCAGAGAGAAGGCACTCTCCCGAAAACCTAGGAGCAAGAAGAACACACTCAGAGAGGTTGAAACCATAAAGACTGCAGCTCTAAAAATGTCATTTACCTGTGTACAGCACAATCTGTATTCTCATACCTGCACTTTTCTACCATAAACCCCAGGATCACATACTGACTATCATTAGCCTGCCTCAGACTCTCACCCCTGTTGAGGATGGAGTTGTGGAGCGGCAGCTTGCCAAAGCCCTCCAGCGAGGAGCAGTTCCAGCGCTGGTCCCGGAGTTGGTGCTGGCATTCATGGATGGCCACTTGGATCCCCTGTAGAGCAGATGCTGTCACATCAGGGTTCCTCACACACATCCGCATCTGACGTTTACTGAGGCCTGCCAGCCTGAGGCACACAGAGTTAGGGGTTAGCACTGGATCTCCTGCCACCTTCAGGCTGAGGATATCATTACACAGCACCCTGCAGGGAGAGTGGGAGAAAGAGTGGGGAAGTGAGATTGTGTGTGTGTGTGTGTGTGGGGGGGGGTGTCATCGGAGATGGTCAACAGTTCATTAGTCAAGCCCAGAGGAATATGAGGCAATGGGAGGGGGTTCAGTACACTTAAGAAAAATACAAACCCAATAAATAATTAAGAGAGATATGATATAATTCATTCTTTATGGGAAATACACCTACCAATAAAATGCGTCCAAAAGTATTTGCTGCACTGTTTCTGCTCCAGTGTCAGTTGGTTAAAGGAGGGAAAATATAATTCTAAACAGATTATCCAGCTGAGAAATATCAAAAACAGATTTAATGGCCAAATGCATCTTATAAAGAAATAACGAGACTGAAAGTGAAATCACTTTGGAATTATTTTGACTCGTTTAAAGCTAAACCACTCAATTAACACTGATTGCACTTTTTTTTAAATTTAACTTTACACGAAACCAGACTTCGAAATACAATGACTAATAATTCGTTTTTAATGTTTTTGTTTTTTTTAAAAATAGCTAAATTATTCATTTGAATAGTAACCTATGCAAAGAACTTCCCGCAACTCTGCCGAATCTCGTGTAGCCACAGTCTGCAACTCTCCTGGCGCTCTCAAGTGCACTTACGTGATTGCAGGTGACATAAGTGCTGCTGCCAAAATCAGGAATTGGTCCCAACGGAGTTTGTTTGATAGCTCCATTTTGTTGTGCGTCTTTCGCGACGTGACATTAAAACACTGGTAGTGATGGTCCGCGTCGAATAAGAAAATCGAAAGGACGATGTCTGCAGTATTATCGATGCACCGCCAAACGACCGAGGAGTGAAGACGGAGAACAGAGGAGGTCGGAGGAGAGAATGAAGTGGAGGAGGAGGGGGGAGGAGGGGGGTGAAAGAAAGAGGGGAGGGGAGTAGATGCCTCTACAGGCGGCTGTTTGCAAAATATTGGCCAGGATGAGAATTGGATCACCAGTTGATACTTTAATTATTCGATAACGGGATCATTCACCCAAGCGTAAAATGACGTCTCCAACATTTTACGCACAAGCACTTTACAAGCATTGCGGGACAGCGATTTCGAATTAAGCAGGTATTTAGAAATACTGGATCCAATGATCATATTTATAAGGATTAAAAAATACATATTTATATATGCATGTACTTGTTCCTACTCTCTTTTGGTGTGATGGGAGGAATAAGGTAATTTGGTCCTACATTTTGGGGGAGAACACAGAAATCCTCGATGAGATGAAATATGGAAACTCAAGGAAGATTTTGTTCATAAAGCGGTGAGTTATTTTAAATAATGAAGGGGGAGGGGAGAGCTGCTGGTTCCACTGTACGACAGGGAGGCAGCAGCAGGCAGGCGGCTCCGCTAACAGACCCTCCAACAATACTGTTTTTAAGTCTTGTGCTCCCCCTTCCTCCCACCTCCATCAGAGCGGCTGCGCCTCATTGTTGTGCTTGAAACAACTTCACATTGTCAATCTAAAGTCTTTATTTCAAAGCAACGAAAGAAAAAAATGGCTAGAGTAACAGACTGTTATTTACAATGTTGTGCAATTACGACCGCTGACAAAACTCTAATGACAAATTATTTTTAGGGATTCAAAAGAACTGACAGACTAAAACACCTTATTGGAGACAACATATCTATTAAAAATCTTTTCTATGGTCACTGTTGAGTAAGCTTATGTAGCAAGTTGCCCGGGCCTTCAGTGTGGACGCGAATCAATCCGTATATCGATCCAGGTTATCCAAAATTAAACATAACATTGCTGCTGGGAGCGAAAGGTGCTTGTGTGCTACTTTCATAAAATTAAGTTAAAACCCCCCTCGAACACGGTTCGCTTAGTGACACCAATTCATCTAATCTCCTTCCATTCCCTAAGCTGCAGCAATGAAAAGTGCATTAGCATTCTGCCTTGGTGTGTATATCTAAGTGGCTTAAAAAGTGATTTGAAGTTGATTTGTATATAAAAGGCCCCCTTTATCCGGATTGAAGCTCTAATCTGCTCGGTGTCGCATGACTGCTCCAGGAAACCCGTTTGAGCAAATTCATATAAGGCTCGGGTAAAAACGTAGGGTGGCTGTCATTAAAGCCTTTTTTCTCTCTTTTTTTAAAGCCTACTTCCTTTTACTGTCATCTGAGGGAGAGACAGAGAGGTGCGGAGGAAGGGGGAGAGATTACTCAACCTACAACCTCTGCAATGACTAATGTGGAATATGCAAATTAGCAGATAAATGTCACAAAATGAACCAATATGGAGAAGTTTGGGGACATTTAAGCTTGCTCCTAGTCTGGGGTTTGATGGAGATGCCGCAAAGTGGCTCAAGCTGTGATTACACTGGGTTACATTGCGTCGAGGGAGGTCTGCAAGCCAGATGTTTGGACTGGTTTTTATCCTTAGTCGTCCCCCTCTTTTCCTGGTTCATCATACATCAAACTTCTGATTGGAGGCCATATTTCATGTCTTCCGTGTTTGAAAAATATTTAAGTAGCCCAGCAGGCAGTGTGAGTTATAGGACAATTACGAGCTTATTATTGCTTCTGCAGGCATTCACGTTTCGCTGTGCGTGTGCGCGTTCGCTCTTATATGATAAAGACGGCTGATAACACGTTTTATTGAGAGGAAAGTAACCTTAAGGGATAACATTCACTTTTAAAAATACATATATATCATTTACATGTAATAATGAATAAACTCGATCTGTAGGAGTTTAAGTGTGAAAAAAAGAACATGTGCAGAAATGGCCTTAGTCACTGCACATTTTAAGAGCGCATTTGGAGAGAGGAGGAGATGCGGTTAGGGAGTAGGCTAATCCAACCACCGGGTAAAAAGGGCAGTTTCAGATGGCTCATATTGCGCTGTAACTATACTGTACCGTGACACCAGCTTTGAGCAGCGGCGAAGCACCAAAGCGGGCGCACCCACAGCATCTGTACCAACTCATCACTGCTCCAGGGCTCCGGGGGAACTTCTCTCAGCAAGACTGGATGCGGAGGCTAGCTGCGCGGTCACTGAAAGGGGAAGAAAATACTTTCAGCCGTACACGTTTACAGGGAATCGATTCTGTGATGACCGTGAGATTCCACAATATGCGTAACACCGTGGACTGCCCTGCTTTTCTCTCCCTCTCTCTCCCTTCCTTTCTTTTTTCTGCTCAGTTGTTTCCTTATTCATTGTGCGTCCTATGAAGAGCATTAACTATCCCTCCCTCCAATCCTATTGAAAAGGCTCCGAAAAAAAAAAACAGGGAGATGAGAGCAGCAAATCCCTTTTTTATTCCCCTCGTAGCGCTCAATAAGAGAAGAATGTGTTGCCTATCAGTCACCGAGGGGATCAAGTCTTCGGAACTGTCCCACGCGTTCAATGCGCCGTGCAAAGCATCACTGAGAGAGACAGAGTGAAGAGGACTGCAGCAGCAGCAGCAGCAGTAGCATCCTGCCCGGACACCTCACAGCACAGCAACCTGTCTCCACTCAAGAGCCATTTAAGTTAATTAGGACTTCCTTCTCTCACCTTTCAAGTCCTCTCCTCGGATTGTGGCGTGGTGAGTATATCCAACCTGCTCATTTTCAAAACTCAGAACTCAAAACTCAAGTTGATCATTAAGATAAAAGTGACACAGTATGTTTGCATGTTTGGAACAAGAAACAAAAGGTGTTGTATTTTCTTGTGTTTTTGTTTTGTTTATATATATATATATATATATATATATATATATATATATATATATATATATATATATATATATATACATATATATATCACCAAATAATGACATTCTCCTCCTCATTTTTGAACTGAAGCCACGATGAGGAGTCTGGCGCTGCTGTTAGGGGTGAAAGCCGCTTGCATCCTCTTGGTGCCCTCGCTCTCGGGCACAGGGGCAGTCAACAACAGCGGCCGGTGGTGGTGAGTTGAGCAGATACTGATGATGCACTAATCGCGTTATGCCACTGGAAAACCTCATCCGCAAAGTTAAGTGCCAGCTTATAGGAGCCCTCTGGAAAACAGGGCGTTTTATTGAGTTGCCACATTTCGTGCAGCTTGATCGAAATAATGTGTTAGTTTTGGAGCCGCTCGCAGCTTCTGTTTGAAAAAAAGAAAAAGAAAAAAAGGGCAACCATATAGGATTGATGCTTAATGCTTCCAGGTTGCTCTACGTGAGCGAAACAGCCCCAAAAAACATTTAGGGTGTTTTTTTCCAGTCTTTAATTTATTGTGCCTGCAGTGAAATTAACCACAGCACACAGTTTAACAATAAAATAATTACATAATAATTACAGCATTTTTATTTGCGGTTGATTTAATTCCCTCTCTCTCGCTTTCTCTCTGGCTCCTTTTTTGGACACTGCGGTTTGAACACGAGACAAGATTTTTCAGTCCAGTGTGGAATAAATTGAATATGGATTTAGAGGGGTTCTTTTTATTTGTTTTTTGTTTCTTGTTTTCCGGGGACACGTTGATCTAATACTGGATATAGTTAAGCGATCATAAACTTTGCGGCAACGGTACAGAATTTAGATTTTTAAAACCAAAATAAAACCGGATCTATAGCTTCGCACATTTTCTTGTTTTTAACAAAAAACTGTGGGTCAGGGGTTTGTTGAGGTAACGATTCAACAAACGGTTTTTGCGGTTTTATTAGATGGACAAGGTTTTCGCACAGTGGCAGTGCGCTTTCAAGCATTTGAAAGATCAGCTGGCATCCAAAAGACGCCTAGAAAGCACACACACACACACACACACACACACACACACACACACACACACACACACACACACCGGTGACTTTGGGAATTAAGAAAATATTCAGAAGATGAGATTATTATTTAAGTTCCCAGGCCTCTCACCGCACCACTGTCTGGGTCAAACCTCTAACAGGCCCAGGCTCGCCCGCTTTTCCGGATGATAATGCTGAACAGCAAAACGCCGCCAATACACGACACATGAATGAAAAATGTTGACACATAAACCACAGAAAATACCAAATAAAGTGGAAAATTACACAGCCTGTGTGCTGAAACGCCAAAAGTGTTCTAAAACCAGCGAAATGGGTGCATTTAAACCCCGTTCAGTGATCCAAGATTTGGATAAAGCTGAAGACGCACAGGTGCCACGTTTGGGCACAAATATGGACACGACACTTAAAAAAAAGAAAGAAAGAAAAAGCAACATCTCTCTCTCTCTCTATGCTATAGTAATAAATAATTACAGTTATTTGTTTCTATATGCTGTGGATGGATGACAGCATTTTTATAGCTTTTTAAATATTTGGCACAGAGGGGTGTTTAAAGGCCTACGTCTTAATGACATTTTGACAGAATGGACATATTTTTAGCTGAAGTTGCACCTTAAATCACATTTGGAGGAACCTTGTATGCTTATCTTTAATGTGATTTAACATATATGTAGGGAATCTTAACTGCCAAGCTAATAACATTAATTTGATACTACACAGATAAGAAATCTGTCAATTATTGTAATCCTTTATTATTATTATTATTATTATTATTATTATTATTATAACATAATGGATCCTGAGTATTTAGCAGACAAATGTGCTTACATATTCTAATTGTGAAACTGACAAGTAATCGCAGCCAGTCCAAGTTTTTATGAAGACATAAAAATAGCTTCATGTTATCTGCCAAGAGTGAAATATACACTGTTAGTCAGAGACAAAGTGTCTTCTCATGATCTTGGAACTGAATGTGAGACTCTGTTTATTACTTTAGCACATAATGAAAACTGTAATTTCAAAGGAGCAACACTCATTGGATGCCAAGAGCCATCAGTTAATGAGTTTAGAGGGTCACCTATAGAGCTTCATGCATGAACTGCCAGCTCCTTGACTCTGAATTCCCTTGTCCTTATGTTGCGCCAGGGGTATTGTCAATGTGGCTTCCTCGTCCAACCTCCTCACCAATTCCAAGAACGTGCAGTTGGTCCTGGACCCAAGCCTGGCCCTTCTGAGCCGTCGCCAGCGCCGGCTGATTCGGCAGAATCCTGGCATCTTGCATGCCATCGCCGCTGGACTGCACACTGCCATAAAGGAGTGCAAGTGGCAGTTCCGCAACCGCCGCTGGAACTGCCCGACCACCCACAGTCCAGCAGTTTTTGGCAAAATTGTCAATCGTGGTGAGCCCCTCTTGTCTTTCTCACCAGGAAATATTTGGACAATTTTGGACAGGATGTAACAGAATCGCTTGTACGCATTTGAAAGGCTTTGTCTGTAAATGATTTCCAGTTTTGGGCAAAAAAGAAAAAAAAAAGGCAAATATAAAGTCCAAAACGCTGGATATGGTTCTGATGGGAAGTTTTTGTGTTGTTTCTTCAGGTTGCCGAGAGACCGCATTTGTATTTGCCATTACCAGCGCAGGAGTGACCCACGCTGTGGCTCGTTCCTGCTCAGAGGGGGCCATTGAGACGTGCACATGCGATTATCGCCGCCGAGGTCCTGGAGGACCAGACTGGCACTGGGGGGGCTGCAGTGACAATGTGGATTTTGGCCGGATGTTCAGCCGTGAGTTTGTGGACTCCAGTGAGAGGGGCAGAGATCTGCGCTACCTCACGAACCTGCACAATAACGAAGCCGGCAGGATGGTAAGACTTGCTTTACTCGTCTACTAAGACTGTTTGTCCGAGTTCTACTTGAAATGAATGTATTAATGAGTGAGATATCATGAGTAATCTTTAGTCTTCCTTTCTCAGACTGTGTCATCAGAGATGCGTCAGGAATGCAAGTGCCATGGCATGTCTGGCTCCTGCACAGTGCGCACCTGCTGGATGCGCCTGCCCAGCTTCCGCACAGTGGGAGACTTTCTTAAGGACCGGTTTGATGGCGCATCCAGAGTTGTTTATGCCAACAAGGGCAGCAACCGTGCCTCTCACCGAGCCGATCCACGCCATCTAGAGCCTGAAAACCCAGCTCACAAACCCCCTTCGTCTATGGATCTTGTCTATTATGAGAAATCACCCAACTTCTGCTCCTACAATGGCAAAACTGGCACTCTGGGAACATCGGGGAGAACGTGCAACAGCTCTTCTCCGGGCCTGGATGGCTGTGAGCTGCTATGCTGCGGACGTGGGTTTAAGTCCCGGACTGAGAGCGTGACTGAACGCTGCCACTGCACATTCCACTGGTGCTGTCATGTCAGTTGTCTGAACTGCACCAGTACAAGGACGTTACATCAGTGTCTATGATCAAATATGGGCACCTAGGCACACATGTGCTTTAAGATGTTAGGCTGGAGCTGGAAAAGGTTCAAGGCGGGTAAACTAATACAGGGAAATTCTGGCACAAAAATTCAATCAGTGTTTTTAAACTTAGGAGAAAGGGAAAGCACAAGTATGTGAACAGGGTATAGAAGGAGTGTATGTCTTACTCTTTATTACTTAACCTTAAGTAAATTAACACTACAACGATACTTGTAGAATGGGAATTGTCCCTCAAGTGTTTACATGCTAGATAAATAGGAGTAAATGGACAAAAGGATGTGGTGGAGAATTGATCGTTGTAACCAGGTACCACTAGGGCCTTGTTTCTCCCCAACAAAGGGCAGAAACTGGACACAATGTTTCACAGATGTTTCTGTGGCCACAGAGCCACAAACATATGCTCTCATAAACTGGCGAGGACCTCTAACAAGAGGAAGCTTATTTAAAAAAAAGAAAAAAAAGAAATCTGTGTTTTGTTTTCTCTTGCTGAAGTTTGGCGTCCCTCCCATGAAACTGGCTGAAGTTTATCTCCCTGGATGGGATATCTGTTCCATGCTTGTGTACTTAGGAATTGTATGCAACCCAACCACTTCTAGTTTCCCTGCCACATTTGCCCATTTTGTTTAGATTTCTCCAGATCTGAATTCACCTCAGCCACATGTACCACTCCAGCTTGCAACAGGATGGTCCTTATTGTACATGACTAGGAGCAGGGAGCACAGAAACCAAGTGAGTGAATCTTACTGAGGCAATGTAATTTGAATGTATTATCAATACACTGAATATCACGACGTGATTTAAGCAAATCTGAGGGATCAATAATGAAAATATCATAAAACACTAATAAAACAATGAATAGAAATGTGACCAATATACAAATTTCCCACAAATGCATGCAGGAAGGATTAAAATATTGCAGGTTAAAGTAGGCAAATGGTGCGTTGTTGGGGGGTTTTTTTTTCAAGGTAGGTTGAATGAAAATATTTTAAAGAATACAGACTGAAAAAGAAACAAACTGTGTATCAGCTAAGAGGACCAAAATCTGTAAATATTAAAATATCTGATTATATTTATAAAGATGTCACTTGTATGTTTTCTAAATGATTTATGTGCCTGTCAGTGGCTGGAGAATATGCTATCAGTAGAGTCAGGTCAGAGGATGTTTTCATCGTTTGGCTCTTTCTAAGTAGGTGTAACGTAGCGGGTTAAAAAAAATACTCTTGATAGAAAAAGACTGTTATCACTTCTTTGCTTTTTTTCTGTAAAAAAAACACTCATGTTTGGTCATGCACTGAATATTTCCCTTTTTTTTTACTAGTGTAAATATATAAAATATTTATTTCTGAGGATTTTTATACTGTTCTAGAGAGTAAGAGAATACTTTTTTTTTAGATTTTAATCAAAAGACTTAGGTTCCAGTTGGTTTTGTACTGTACGATAGAACAATAAAGTCTATATTTTCAATTAAGCTGCCCTTGTGAATGTGTCAACATTACAGCCATTATGTGTGTTGTGTTTGCTGTATTCGAGAGTGTTTTGACTATGGACCGAGCCAACATATAAGCCTGTCCCTGGGTGTCCTTTGCTTAATCCTATTACCACCACCAAAGCAGCCTCTTTCTCCAGCTCCACAAAACATCCCTGCATCTGTGCGACCAACCACAGAGACAGACTGTTTATCTGCCCACATACCTTATTTTATACAGTATATGAGTTGCTTCATTTGCTTAAGGCCTGAAAGAAATATGAAAAACTTCAACACCTGGCAGTGTAGCTAACCACAGGAGTTTGGAAAGCGTGACACTTCTCAGTTCACCACAGAGAAGGAGCAATCAGGGTCATCCAGAAAGGGCAGAGTGGAGGAAAAGCAGTAACATGCAGGGACGAGAGTGCTTCTGAATTAGCATCGTATTACAGTGTAGATTTAACAGGGGTTCGTGGGCTTGTGGTATAAAATTAGAGAAAACATTATAAAAAATAAGAAGAGAATGGCTACAATATTACTTATCTGGAAGAACTGATCAGAGTGAACTGAAGTAAAAGCAAAGCAAATTCAGAAGTAAAGTGAGGAAATGTCTATAAATACAAAAAAACAACAAAAAACTAAGTGATTAGAAAAAATGTTGTTGACCTATACATAAGTAAAGCTCTGTCTTCTATCACTGGAAAACAGGGGTTAACACACCAGAACATGATATGGCTTACTGTGTAATAACTGACAAACTGAGAGAAAAGTCAGGAGCTGACGGAGTGAAAACACACGCAAAACGAGGCAAATCTGGCTGGAAAGAGAAATAATCAGCAATCATGGGCAGACAGAAACAATAGAAAGTAAAAGTGGTTGATTTTTTTTTTTTTCAGAGTTCAAATCCCAGGCATGAGAGTGAGGTGGGAGAGTTGGTGGAGAGTGAAGTGGAGGGGGCGCTGCCTGTGGGAGTGCTAAGGAGTCAGTGATAATTAGCTCAATTAGTGACAAAGGCAGTGTAATAAATACCGACTTAGTGTCTGGGTCCCTGCTGGCCTCTCCCTGCGCAGCCTGCGATGTGGCTCTAGCCTGACGGACAATTCATTAAACTGACAAAATACCCCACCGTCCAGGCGTGACGCAGCGAGTTAGCCCCCTACAGGCCCAGCTCATTGTTCTAATTGTCTGGCCTGGAGTCACTTTGTGGCCGCCTCCTCTTTCACCCACCCCGCCTTCACACTCTGCCTTCAGAAAACCCATGGAGTTAATGCCACTACCTTACTCTGCAAGTAGGTGATCGGCAGGTTGGAAAAAAAACAGTAAGAGTTCCTTGGGGTGGGGCTGCTGGGAGGGGGGGGCGGTGGGTAGGCAGTGGGATTAGCGAATGGAGGTTGCCTGGGAGTGCTGGGAGCAGCACTGATCGGAATGTAGGAGAGATGAGTCCAGAAGCTCGGATGTGGGACAAAGCGAGAGTTAATAAGGAAAGATTGAAGGGGCTGGCGACAATGGGCTGCCACCCGAGTCGAGATGAAATTGCTTCCGAGGATTATTGGGAGAGGGTGTGAGCGTTGTAGGGTTTTTGTGTGAGTATGAGTTTAGTTGGGTATTTGTGTGTTTGTGCTTCAGTGTGTGTGCAGGGGTAGGGGGAGCGCTGGATTGATGGCTGCCCCTCTGGTTGGGGAGCAGGGGACCAAGGAAGGCTAACCGGCTGTTCCCACAGTCTGTTCTGCTGTAGCCACCTTTGACACACGGAGCTGTCAGGCGGCAAGCAGGCAGCTATGGTGTATGGTATGGTGAGAGGGGCACAAACAAAAACAACAGCTCCACTACACAAAAGTCACTGGCTCTATGGAAGGCCAGTGGAGAAGCGCAGACTTGGAGGAGGGAAGGAGGACAGGAATGTGTGACAGGGAGGATTAAAAAAGAAAAAAAAAGAAATAGAGATGGTACAAAATTGTACGCTTGAGTCCCATTTTGGTTTTGGTTCCTGCCAGCTACTGTTTTGCCAATATCTGGAGATAATAATACCGCGCTGACATCCAGTCGCAGCCTGCTCATAAGTGAGATACGTGGTGCATCGAAACGTTAGTTCCTTTACACTTTGTTCCCGTGGCTTGCTCATGGTTACTTTTCACGTCGCTGTAAATTCGCTTTCTATTTTTATGAAGAAAAAAAAATCTCTGGGTAGTATCATAACAGGCCACAGCAGCCTAAAGGGTGAAGGTTAATGGGGCAATTTTGCTAATTATGTAACTCGACAACGAGAATTAAAAAGCCACGCTGCCTGCAACTGACCTGACAGCCACGAGAACACGTGCACAAATCCAGCAAGCAGGTCACATGCAAGAAACATGGCATACTGAAGGCACAGCAGCTTCACATTAAAATTCCTGCTACAGCTAGGAAAAATGTTTGGCCTGTTGGGTGGAGTTGGCTGTTAATTCGAAGGCAGCATGATAAATAATTGGGGTGGGCCACGGCACTGAATGAAAGGCTGTTTACAGTGCTTGTGATTGACAATGTGGTGTGGCATGAGTCTGGCACGCAGTAGTGATTTGATTTCTGTGCTCGCTCCATGTCTCATTGTAATCCTAGCATTCAATTATGGGTCAATTTGAAATTAATTTGGGGCATTGTTATTATAGGGACACCCATATCAAGCTTGTGTAATAATCCGAAGAATTGAGTTTGGTGCCATTAGGTGACCACAGGGGTATTATGTAACAAGATGTGCAATTACAGCTTCGTCACTCGGATATTAAATAAAGAACTCAGACTTGCAGAAAACTACCAAGTGGATTAATAGCGGTCAGTGTAGTGGCTCAAATTTACTCAGATTCAATTCAGGATTCTAGGAAGTGCTAAAAAAAAGAGCATGCGTGTGCGCATGTGTTAAGTTTGTGCACACAGTCGAGCCAGTGTGTGCGCGTGTGTGGGTGTGTGGATGGCAGCTGGGAGGCAGACACGGTCCAGGAGAAGAATCATCCCCTAGCAACTGACCTTTTCGCCAGATGGCAGCTCCGGAGTAACAGCCACCCAGCATCACAATGGCCGTGGCCTCCTAACATCTCCATCACTTCATCATCTTCTGGCCTTCCACAACCTGTCACACAGGAGAGGAGGGAAGGTTAGATTCACCCCAGCAGATATACAAGCTCGAGCGTCCTGTTTGTGCGTCTCCTCTCGCTTCAGTTCCAGAAAGTTCCAAAACATCGCTTTGAGCCTGCGTTCGCTTGTTCCCATGTTTCTGGGGTGTGCGGTGGGCCAGTGGAAGGCATGAGAAGAGGACTGATTTAGGAGAGACACAGCGAACGCTCACTGCTGTCCGCAAACTTTCAGACACTCTCAAACCACTGTTTTCCGTTGTTGGGTTTTGTGCACAAAGTGAATCAGGGTGGGAATGTGGACAGACCACTCGACCATGGTGAGCAATCAGTATGATGTCTGTGGTCAGGCTCAGTGCCCCTATGGAGTGAGCTGGAGAACTAGCCCTGCAGTTAAGGTGGGAGGGATATAACTGTGCAGCATGTATATATATATATATATATTTATATACACACACACATATATGTGTGTGTGTATATAAAAGTGTATTGGGGTCTGTGTGTGTTTAATAGGCCAGCACTCTTCACACATGTATAAAAATGTTTTCAATTGCAGCCTCCTGCATGTGAACACACATGAATGAATGTGCTTGGGGTGATAATATATTTTGAGCTATCAACACGCTCACACGCATACGCACACTGCAGGGCCTCTGGATTGTCTTGGCTTGATGGCTTTTTCTCTGCTGGCCCATTTTTTGTTGATATTAAATTCTTTGCTAAACCTCAAAACTCCTGAGACGAAAACCTCACCACCATGGAACATCACCTCTAACTAAACACCAAAGTGTCCCTAAGTTCATCTAAACCACTGACGTCCAGCTTTAGGTACCATTTGAAATGCACAGGCAATGATTCTGTGAGAACCATTATGGAACAAGAAAAAGTAAAACTCTCTCGTTACACATCTGTGAATGGTTAACCTGGCAAAGCCAGATATGTGACAACAAACAGATAAAGTGCCATGTCAGACCGTGTCCCACTGAAATTAAGCGTTTCAGATGGAAAACTGTGCGTCAGAGCGTGACTTTAAACCGCGCCGTACTCCAGGGGAGACAATATGCTAGCAAACACTGTAAGAGCTCCCGTAAACAGAGCCGTAATGATAGGGAAAGACTTTGGGAAAGGACAACCAACAGTAGAATATGTTTACAGACATCTGACAATGTACGGGTACAGCGCAGCAACATTTCAGCTCTGAGATCCACATGAAACATGAGCACAAACTGTGGTGGAATCCATGTGACACAACATGAGCCTGTGCATAATTTCACCTGTCAGCATGGATGAAGCACACATTCGGTTAAATCAAACAGACAAGCCAGTGATAAACTTCACCGAGACGTGTCTGGCTACGCTGAACGTTAACACTTCTCCTCATCCGAACGTATCTTCGCGAAACTGTCCGCTGCTGGATTTCTTTTACTTGCCTAAGTGCGAGATCAAGGAAATCTGAGTGACCACAGCACGGATGGAGTAATTTACTGCTCTTCACTTAACCAGATGAGTCAGCTTGTTTTATTGTCTGCAGGCCATTGTCTGAGGCCCAGCATGGCCTCATTTGAATCAATAAACAACACTGAGACATTTTTGACGGCATGTGCTAATTATCTCTGTTCTAGTAATACTCGTGGGGACAAAAAGAAGAAGTGCCCTGCTTTTGGTTTTAATTCCGAGCTGTGTTTTACAGCGACAGTGGGCGAGCGCTCCAGCACTGACACAGCAGCAGAGGAATGTTTATTTGCTGCAGTTAGGAGCTGGGTGGCTTGCAGGAACTATGACACATTCCTGTGTCACCGG